TACCAGTAAGATTCAGTTTGAGTTCAAACTTGGACTGAAGTATAGCCATGGCGATCCCCTGAGATGCTAGATAGTCATCTCAAAAATGGAAAAGCAGCTTTTTTGCTTCAAGTTTGCTTGTTTTGTTAGGAAAGCCTATTTTGCAAAGGAAACTTCAAAGAACATATTTTAGGTCAGGCAGGGAACTTAATACCTGAGAGAGGCTGGGCTGCCTTCTGGCTGCACTTGTCTTAAGTGCTCCCCAGCCTATTCTACCGCTCTAGGGAGGGAAAGGCCCATGGTGAACTGAGAACTGGTGCAGCCCTTACCCTGGGTCCTTACTCTGACAGTGCTTTGGTCCCTTGTGCATCTCCCTTCTCTTTAGAAAGCAGATTTCTCCTGAAGGAGACCTTGTTCCCACATGGATTGGCTGGTACTATGCCAAGTCCTAGTTTCTCTCATGTTCAGGAGGTTTGTGCAGTGGTTGCATAATTAGGGATAAAAGAGAGGATGGGAATGAAACAATTTCCATTATACTTTTGATTTAAAAATTTAAATGTTTATTTGTGTGCATATGTGTCTCTGTGTGTGTACACACGTGTGTGTTCGGGCATGCATGATGCACGCATGTAGAAGACAGTATGTGGGAGTTGGTTCTCTGTAACTATCATGTGAGTCCTAGAGAACAAACTCAGGTCATCAAACTCAACAGCAAGTGCCTTTACCCTGCTAAGCAATCTTGACACACCTACTTTTAGTTTTTAAAATGGAAATATATTTATTATTTTTCTAATATGGAAATAGTATTTGTTAATTTGTCAAAAACCAAAGAAGCAAAGAAAAATGTAAATAGAGTTCAACCATCCCAAAGAAATATTCAATCGCACCTCAGTGTATATTTTACACATTAAACCATTTAATGTAATCACATTAAATATAGTTTTGTTCCCTGAATTAGTACTTTAAAATGTTTGACAAAGCTGGGCAGTGTTGGCACATGCCTTTAATCCCATCACTTGAGGTAGGAAGAGGCAGGTGGATCTCTGAGTTTGAGGCCAGTCTGATCTATAGAGTGAGTTCCAGAACAGCCAGTGCTACAAAGAGAAACCCTGCCTCAAAAAACAAACCAAAATAAAACAAAGCAATTCCTCCAAACCCCTAAAACTGTGATGAGTGTGACAGTCAGAATATAATGGGTTATGATTGATAACAAATAATCCCATATATGAATGTCTTAAGTAACACTTATTTCATTCTTGCTTATACATTCTTATGGGCTGGCAGTAGAACAAGTATGCACATGTGGTCATTTGTGAACTTGGGAGAACTGCATCCACCTGGAACATGACTAATTACTGTACCAGAGGGAGCAGGCAGCTCTGAAAGATTAGATATCTGTAATTAATACTTGGCTCAGAAGTGGTAAATGTTGCTTACACCCATAACATATTGTCCAGAGCTTGTCCTAAGGCCCCATCTGTCCACAACAGGTGATCTTTCTGGCAGAGAGCAGCTAGAAACATAAATAATGAGCAATGTTGAAGTCCAGCAATATATTTGGGAGTCAATATTTATTTATCATCATGTGTGGGGATGCATGTGTGCATGTTTGTGTGTGTGTATGGGGGCATATGTGCATGTTTATGGAAAGGTCTGTGTGTAAGTTTGTGTGTGTGTGCAGTATGTGTGCATGTTTATTTGTGAGTGTGTGTGTTCTTGTGTGTATGTGGAAGTCAGAGGTCAACCAAGGGTAGCTTTTTTTTCAGAAGATGTCCATCTGTCTTGGAGTTTTGGACAGGGTCTCTCACTGGGACCTGGAATTCTTAAGGCTATGCTGGCTATCCAATGAGCCCTGGGATCCTCCCAAGTACCAAGATCACAAGGAAGCCACCGCATCTGGATTCTTATGTAGGTTCTGGGGTCAAGCTCAGGTCTTTGGGTTTGTGTGGCAAACAGTTTCCCAGCAGTCATCTCTCTGGTCCCCAGGTTATCATGGTGTATTCAACTGAACTACTTTTAGTGAAACCTTATGTCAGTGTTTCTCAACTTTCCTAACCTGTGATCCTTTAATACATACTGTATATTAAACACCTCGTGTTGTGGTGACCAACCACAAAATTATTTTCATTGCCACTTCATAATTTTAATTTTGCTACTGCTATGAACTGTAATATAAATATCTAATATTTCTGATGGTCTGAGGTGACCCCCATGAAAAGGTTATTCGAACTCCCAAAGGATCGTGACCCACAGGTTGGGAACCAGTGCTTTAGGGTCTCTCCAACTTTGAACAACTGTTTTCAAAGTTATACTTTCTGTTTTTCTAATTATTCCACTCTTTTTTACTTCTCTGTAGTAGAGTTTTAACTGAAGGACATACATACAGGTTAGAATATAAAAGTATATTCACTTTAGAAAAATTTTACGGTTTCTTAAAAGTAAAATTTACTGAAGGAGATATGAATTCCACTCATAGGAAAATAAAAGTGTATCTCTATATACTCAGGAAAAATTGTCTGTGTGTGAAAATTACATTTTAATTCAAGCTATAAATCACTCATACCAGGCAAAGGTAAACAATAACTGGAATGTCTGTCAGGTGATGAACAAAATGTAGTACGTTTACACAGTAGAATTACTCAGTGATAAAGAGGAATAAAGTAGTGTTTGCTATAGTGTAGATGAGCCTTGAGACCATTATTCAAAATAAAAAATACAGAAATATACATGGTGTATAATTCCACTTATATTAACTGATCAGAACGGGAAAAACCATGTAAAATAGTTTAGTGGTTGCCAAGGACTGAGAATGAGCACTCGTGAGGTGATGACCAGAGTGGGCACAGTGTGTGTCTGTGAGTATGTGTGAGTATGTGTGTGTGTGTGTGTGTGTGTGTGTGTATTTGTCTGTGTGTGTATGTGTCTCTGTGTGTGTATGTCTGTATGTCTGTGTGTGTGTCTGTGTGTATCTCTGTGTATGTGTCTCTGTGTTTATGTATATCTCTGCGTGTGTATATCTGTGTCTCTGTGTATATGTGTCTGTGAGTATGTGTGAGTATGTGTGTGTGTGTGTGTGTATATTTGTCTGTGTGTGTATGTGTCTCTGTGTGTGTATGTCTGTATGTCTGTGTGTGTGTCTGTGTGTATCTCTGTGTATGTGTCTCTGTGTTTATGTATATCTCTGCGTGTGTATATCTGTGTCTCTGTGTATATGTGTCTGTGTGTATGTGTCTCTCTCTGTGTATATGTGTGTCTGTGTCTCTCTCTGTGTGCATGTTTGTCTCTATGTTTATGTGTCTTTGTGTGTGTATGTGTGTATGTGTGTGAGTGTCTGCGTGCATGTCTGTGTATCTCTCCGTGTGTCTGTGTGTAGGTGTTTGTGTGTGAATGTGTATCTGTATGTGTGTAGGTGTCTCTGTGTGTATGTATATCTCTGTGTATATGTCTGTGTCGGTGTATTTGAGTGTGTGATGTGTCTGTGTGCATACTTACACATGTGTGTGGGCATTGTCCCCATCACTCTTTCCCTTATTTCCTGAGACAGAGTCTCTCACTGAATCCGGGACTTGCTGTTTCTTCTGACTGGCTGGCCAACAAGCTCCAGGAATCCTCTTGTGACCTCCACTTCCTGGCAGTCCTGGGGCTCTTTGTGTGTGCTGCTGCACCTGGATTTCTATGTGGGTCCTTGGGATTGAACTCAAGGTCTCATGTTTGCACACAATCACTTTGCACACCAAGTCATGTCCACAGGCTCCAGAGTTTCTTCTTAGAAAGTTAATAAAAACTTCTCTGGTTGTGGTGATGGCTCTCCACTCCTTACAGAGAAAGATACTCATGCACAAAATGAATGAATTTCGTGGTATAAAAATTACACCTCAAAAAGCTATTTAAGCATTGTAAAGTAGGGCTGGAGAGATGGCTCAGAGGTTAAGCATGCTTCCTGCTCTCACAGAGGGGTCAGAGCTCTGCTCTCCAGCTCTAGGGGAACCTAAAGCCTCTGGCCGTGTACAGCACCATATACAGAAATACAGGCACACAATTAAAGACAAAATAGATTTTAAATGTGTAAATCCTGGGCATAATTTTCAATTATCTGTTCTATATTTCTGAAAGGACATGCTACTCCTAGCAATAACCATCATGATTCTATTATTTAAATGGGTTTGCTGTGTGTGTGTGATACTCAAAGAGAAGCTAGCATCATTAAGGGACTGGCTTATTGTCACCATGATTTTAATCTTTTTTATTTGAGATTTATTTATGTTTATATTTATGGGTGTTTTGCCTCTCTGTAAGTGTATAACATTTGCATTCCTGGTGCTCATGGAGGTCAGAGAGGATTATGGGCCTCCTAGAACTGTAGTGATAGACTGTTGTGAGCCACCATGTGAGTGCTGGGAATTGAACTTGGGTCTTTTGAAGAATGTTGAGACATCTCTTCAGTTCACGTGATTTTTTATGGGAAAAAATTTATTATTTTTTTCCATACCTGTCTCTTACCTATGAGAAAAATAGAAGAAATCTTATAGAAAAGAAATCTTTAAAGCAATCGAGGGTAACTTCAGCATTGCATGTGGATTTCCTAGAGTCTTGCAGTGAATAGGAATGTACCAGAAGAAGGCCAAATGCCTGTATTACAATGATGTAATTGATGCAATAGCAAGGAATTTAATGTCAAGCCAAAGACTGAGTGAAGCAGAATGCAAGCATTTCATGAGTATCGCTGTTCTTGTCACTGTTGCAGATGTAGGCACACCCAGATGATGAGGAAGTTTGGCCTCATGGATTCTGAGTCAAGCAGAGCTAAGAATAATGGATTCTATTTCCAGCCTACAAAAACACTCTCTGAATAATAATAATAATAATAATAATAATAATAATAATAATAATAATAATAAAAGCCAGAACTACGTTTCAAGCTAGATATCCTTAGTGATGAATTTGAATGGGTTTTAACAACTGCACATGACTCATTCATGAATACCTCCCAGTCCTATTTTATATTTCTTCTCTCTTTCCAGGTCGCACTCAGGGTGCCCAGACAACTCAGGCTCTTGCAAAGGCTGGTACGTATACCCACAGATACCACATTCAATTTCTTCATCCTTCTGCTTCCTTTGAACCAGGATCTAGATGCTGGTTCCCCAAAGCTCCTGGTCCTCCATAGAGAAGAAGTCTAGCATGAAACAGTGTAGCTGATTCCTTTAGAAGTTTTCTCAAAGGGGATATTTCTTTCTTGAGGAACTAGAGAGATGACTCAATGGGTAAAGTGCTTGTTGCACAAGCATGGGGACCAGAGTTCAAATCCCCAGCACCTATGTAAACAGCCTAATGTGACTGCATGCAGGCCTGTTACACTGTTGCTATATGAAGTGGACACAGGAGGACCACTAGAGCTTGGGGGCTGTCAGTCTAGCTCCAGTTCAGTGAGAGACACTGCTTCAATGGAATGAGAGGGAATGATAGAGTGGAATTCCTGAGGGCTTCCTCCGGCTTTTGCCTGTGTGCTCATGAGTGTATAGTACTCCCTCCCACCCCAACACACACAAAGACAAGTATCTGTATTAAGAACAAAAAATCTAAATATAGTATTTAAGTATTTGTTTATTTTTATAATATCTTTATTCAGGAAATAAGGCCTTTGGAAGTGAACAGCATTTGTAGATTGAAGTATTGTGTGGTGAGGGTCGGATGGGCTCTCCATACATGACAGAGCCTGTGAACACATTCCCTGACTATGAACAAATTTTGACATCTGAAAATATTGTTGGTCATCTGGAATAGCTAATCTCTGAAATGCCTTTATTTTGACTCTGCTCTTATTCCTTCTATTAGTTTTAATCTCCCTAATTGTGAACTCATCAGGGATCCTTATGCTACTGGAGACATCTGTTTTTAGAATTGGAAGATTCCCTCAGAAACACACTATCGGTTTGCTGATTTTTGTTTGTTTCTTTTTGGTATAGTTGCTGTGTAAACATTTTGGGTTCCTATGTTTGTCCTTTCTTTTATAGCCTCTAAATTTTGTTATTGATTAAAAAGACTTTTTTTTTGGAGACAGGGTTTCTCTGTGTTGCTTTGTAGGCTGTCCTGGAACTCACTTTGTAGACCAGGCTGGCCTCGAACTCACAGAGATCTGCCTGCCTCTGCCTCCTGAGTGCTGGGATTAAAGGCATGTGCCACCAAAGACTTTTTATTTTGAGAAGGGGTCTTATGTATCCCCACCTGGCCTCAAACTCTCTCTGCAGCCCAGCTTGTCCTTTGAATCCTGATCCTCCAGCATCTACTTCCCAAATTCATGGAGGATTGCTGGCGTGTGCTACCATGTCCGGCAGTTACAAAGATTTTCAGATCCTGTCATCTTCACAGTTCATATGATCTCTTCCATTTTCTTTGAAACCTCTTAAAATTTCCAAGTCTTATTTTCTCATGCATTACACATTTTGAGCATGAGCTCTATCCATGAAGGGTCTTTCCAGGAGCAATGCATATGCCACGTCTTTAACCTCTTATCACCAAGAGAGCAAAACTCTGAATGTAGCTTCTATAGTTAGTTACATGAGATTGTATGATCTGGCTTCTGCCTGTGCCTGGAGTCTCTAGCTACCTCTCACCAACTGTGGTTCTCAGTATGTTCCAAATCATAATTAACAAATAGAAAGTAGACAGCTCAGAATGGTCCAGGTTTTAACTAATGAACAGAAACTGGCAGCCACAACTAGGATTCTCCCACCATTGTCAAGACCACAGAGATATGTCTGGTTATGTTAAAAACTAATTAGATTTCTCTTTTTATAGAAGTCCTTGGATGTACACCACACACACACACACACACACACACACACACACACACACACACAAACTCACTGTGTTTTAAACATCAGGGGATTTTTAGATCTGAGCTTCCATCATACTTAAAAGACTGACTAGTTTTCTTAAAACAATTTACTGCTGTCATTTATCCTCTGACATTAGGGGTCCTTCTTGGTAGCCCTTTGGTAGGAGGTATTCTCAAATTTGTGCCAGGAATTATTTTATTTCAGTGTGGTATGATACACAAACACTGAAATGATTGACGTGATGGAAGAACTTTACACTCCCATGTCCCTGGTAACAGGAACTGTGATCTGCATACAAAACCACACACAGAAGCACCAGGGCCGGTCAGGAAGTAGTGGGTTGGGTGGTTGGTGGAGCACAGCCCAGAGCATCTATTAAGATTTTCATGGGAAGGAATGAGTGAGAGCATGGATGTGCCCAGTAAGCGTAGGATCGGATACTTGGAGTCACTTTGGCAGGCTTTGGGCTGTAACAGCTGTCCCTCATTGCTCAGTACCTGGTTGTTGGGTGATTTGGGGCGAAGAGAGAATTAGTTTACTATGTGAGTGTTTGATAGAGGAAGTGGTCAGGGGTGTGGATAATAAAAACCCAGGAAATGTGATTTTTGTATTAAAGATGTACTAGCAGGGTGGTCACTGGTGTCTCTAGAAGGAGGGAAGGAATCTCTCCAGGAACACAGCCAGGAATGCTGGAACACCAGGTTATGTCATCTGCAGGAAAATGGATACAAGTGGAGAGAATCATACTAAGTGAGCTAAGTCTCAGAAAGACAGAGATCGCATGTTCTCTCTTGCTTGTGGGTTCTAGAGCTTATAGATACATAAAATTATTTACGTATAGTGACATAAGTAGAAGTGAAACTTGTCAGAGGAATGAAGGGGACTGATGGGAGTTGGGTAAAGAGGAGGGTCGTGGGGAATATGCCCAAAGTGCATTTTACTTGCATGAAAATGGCCTCATGTAACCCTGTATAAATTATAGTCAGGACAGCCGGTGGCTTGGTGCTGACCATCAGTCTCTCATGGATGCTGTGTACGCCTGTGTCTATCTCCCCATCCCCAACTCTAATCATCAGAGAGTCGTTTTCGGAAGATCACAGAATGGATGTTTCCCTATGGATAGGAATAATTACACTTAATGTTCCTATCTCTAAATGTCAGGAGGCATTGGCTGTGGATATTGGACGAATGTGAGTGGGTGAATCGGGGCTGGTGTCATGTTCTGTCTGCAAATGGAGGAGGGAGTGACTCCCCCCATGTGATGAATACAGCACCCGAGGAAACTTCAGCAGTGACTACTACACACTTTCTTAAAAGAGAAGAGGTCTGAAGGTTGAGTGAAGGGACCTAGCATGCAGTCACCTGCTCCATTCCAACCTTCTCTCCCATACAACAAGGGAGCATGAAGTTAGCCACGTTCTGTACCTGCTCTCAGTGTGTCTCTCCTAGTGACTGTAAATAGTGTAATGTTAGGCCAGGGAGCTGCAGAGATAGCACAGTGCTTTCCCCAGAGAACCTGGGTTCAGCTCCCAGCACACACATGGCCACTCACAACGCTCTGTAATTCCAGTTCCAGAGGATCCAAATTTGTTTCTGGCCTCTGTGGGCACTAGACATGCAAATGGCTCACATATGTACATGTAGGCAAATATACAAAATAAGAATAACGAAACCAATCTTTTTAAAAAAAGAAAAGAATGATTAGTCGGGGATCAAGCACCAAAGGGTTAATAATCTTCTAGGAAGAGGGGACTGAACTGGGCTCTGGCAACTGGGCAGTGTCCCAAACATTCCACAGTGACATTTCCAGATGGTGACTTGGGTAATTCATGACATCCTCTGGGTGGCTTGATGTTAAATGACTCCCGTGAGTCATACCCAAACCTCTGGTCCCTCTGGCAGCTAATTAAGACACACCCTGCCTCAAACTACTTTTCCATCTGGGTTGGTTTTGGAGGAAAAAAATAATGAAGAAATTACATTATGTCACAGGAAGTTGTTTTTTTCTGCTTTGTATTTTCCAGTTGACATCTCCCAAGAAAATAATTATTTATATACAAATACGGTGACCATGTTGAATTTTTAAGAAGTATATTGGGAAAATGTGAGACAACTCTTTTATAGTCTCCCATTTATGGCACATTTTCATAGACTTCTGCATGCAAAGCTCTGTGTTTGCTTTCCGCTGGCAGGGCCTGACTGATTCGCCCACTTGTCACCTACTTTCCCCACATGCTTCTCACTGTGCCCCTTTCCTAATTAATCTGGTGTAGTCACCACTCTTGGAACAGACATGGTTTATTTCATGCCTTTTGTGCCCATTTTCTGTTCTTTTCTTTTCTTTTTTCCCACCCATTGTTGGTTGAACCCAGAGCTTCATACATGCTAGGGAAACACTCTCATCACTGCACTACATTCTCAGTCTAGAACATCCTTTTCATTCTCTTTCACCATCTAAATTTTGGAATCTATTTTTTAAAACCTTTTTTCACACTTTGAAGACATCACTGAATTATCTTTCTCTTATAGTTTTATTCCTTTTTCTGTTTGTTTGTGGGGCCTGAGTACTGAACCCAGGACCCCATGCATGCATGCATGTAAGCAGCTCTACTATTAAGCTGAACCCACAGCCTTGTAGGTGGAATTTTCCTGTCTCACAACCAATATCAAATAACCACAGGAGAGTCTTATTATTAATTATAAATGCTTGGTCAGTAGTTCAGGCTTATTCCTAACTAGCGCTTACATTTTAAGCTAACCCAGCTTCCTCATTTATGCTCTGCTCCATGGTGATACATTTATTAACATGGCATGGTCATCTCCTGCTCCCTCTGCATCTGGCTTGTAAGTCTTCCTCCCAGCATTCTCCTAGTCTAGCTCCCCTGCCTAACCTTATTCTGTTCAGCTATTGGCCAGTCAGCTTTTTTTATTAAACCAATCACAACTACGCAATGTAAAGGGATATTCTACAGCACTGCCATTTATCTTTCTTCTGAGCTCTGGAAAGTCTGGCAGTCACAGTCCCTATGACGTCTTCTCATTTCTGTCAGTATGTATCTCTCTATCTGCCCTTCTCAAATTACATGTACATCTCACTCCTATATCTTTGTACATTGTTTTGTATTTCTCCCCCTTTCTTCAAATATACTTTTCAAGTGCCTTGAGATAAGTAGCCAGCTGGAATAGTTCTTCTCAAACCTTCATGAAATACAGTCTTAAACACTGTA